TTTGAGCGATCGCCTGGAATTTTACCTTTTAGAATAATTAAGTTAGTCCTCATTCCTAAACTGTGAAAGATTGATTGTACGCTAAGAAAAAGCTTCAGACCAATGAGTGCTGTTTCATCTAATCAATGTTTGGTACGGACTTAAGAGCCTCGAGCGCACGTTCGAAATGAACATTAGATCAAAGATTTTGTTGGACAATCTTCTTAGTCCTCTCCAACATATATGCCAGATACGAAAATCCTGAATATCTAGAGGGGAAATTTGACAACGTTAACTTTGACTCTATGTGCTCTGCAGGCCGCCGTCATTGCGTGGATTAGAAAATCATAAGATAAGTTAGTGAATTACTTAGTTAGTGCTTGGGTGTAGCAGAGGAAAAGACACTGCGGCTTTAACGTCTTCTGTAACGGCAGTGTGCCCAAGATACCTTCAGCTTCCCTAATGAATCCTTTACTAAAAAGGGTTCGACCATTTGAGCTTTTTAATTGGATCAATTTTTATCTGGCCAAAGCCGGAAGGTAACTGAGAATGTGTTCTGACGTCTCATCGTCTTCAAGACGGAGCCGGCATTCTGAATTGGCGGTGACACCTATTTGGTGAAAGTTAAATCGTAGCCGTTTGTTAGCAGTCAGGCCCATTCATTAAAATTATATTCTTTCTGGTGAAAGGCTAGTCAACAAGCCTGGCCTGTCTTTGGCCACCCACAGCTCCCAGTGCTTGCTACGTTAAGGGTGTGTCCACTCTGTTAGTATGACTCTCGAAGTCCACAAAATGGTTCAAGTCCCTAAAAGGCAGTTGGCGATTCTCCGTCGGAGACCTCGTTGCCTTCGATTCCTCAAAGGCCTGATAGTCAGCACAGTGACACCGTTTTTTTTATGCCAACAATTGTAGCATGCCAAAGCAGTCTTTAACCAGCTTTTATCATCTTGTTTGAAAGGGCCCGGATGGCTGTGCTTGACTATCTGAAAATATAACTAAAAATGCGCCTTTCAGTACCATTTCAAAGTTTAATTATATACAGGTTAAGGTTGCCAATACATCAGTCTGAAACATCGTGGGACATCTGCCCTTCGGAATTTTAGGTTTGGTGCCAGATCCAAAAATACCTGCACCTGATTTGAAATCAATGAAGAGAGTCCCAATATTTGCGATCGGGGATTTTCACATGGAATTTTCTGCCACAGACGGTCTCTTTGGTCATGAAATCAGAAATTCCGCATAGTTACTCCCAACCCTGTTATCTACCTGAGAATATCATAAGGTGGATCCAATTTACATATGTTATCTAGAAGATTGCCGACTATAAGGGTGAAGGAAGTTTTTTTTGGAGAAAGTATGTGGTCTTGGACCTAGGTTAAATAATTCAAAAATTAGTTAGAAGAAAATCCTTTTTCTGTACGCGAGGATCTTGTTTTTACCTTCCTAACTTAACCTTTAAGGGGAGAAGGAAATAAAACTTGTATCCGTAATCCGAGTTTTTATGTTCAATTCAAATATCTGAAATTGCAGATTGTAATAGTTTGTAAAGATACTGGCCGACAGCAAGAACGCCCGAAAATTCTACCAGAGGGTTAGGCGACTTACGGAAGGTTTCAAGACCGGGGCGAACTCCTGTAAGAACAACAATGGCGACCTAGTGACCGATGTCCAGAATATACTTAAATTGTGGAGGGAACACTTTTATAACCTACTGAATGGTAGCAGCGCTGAAAGTAGTGAGGAAGACGAACCCGAGTCCCCAGTCGATGATGATGGAGTAGCTGTCCCACCGCCTGACTATGACGAGGTACGAATAGCGATTACGCGGCTGAAAAACAACAAAGCTGCTGGAGCTGACGGCCTGCCAGCCGAGCTATTCAAGTACGGCGGCGAGGAGCTGATGAGGTGCATGCATCAGCTCGTATGCAGAATATGGTCAGATGAACGCATGCCCGACGACTGGAATTTAAGTGTGCTCTGCCCAATCCACAAGAAAGGCGACCCCGCCATACGCGCCAACTACCGCGGAATTAGCCTTCTAAGCATAGGTTACAAGGTCTTATCGAGCGTATTGTGCGAAAGACTGAAGCCCACCGTCAACGAGCTGATTGGACCTTATCAGTGTGGCTTTAGGCCTGGAAAATCCACCATAGATCAGGTATTCACAATACGCCAAATCTTGGAAAAGACCCGCGAGAATAGGATCGACACACACCATCTATTTGTCGATTTCAAAGCCGCTTTCGACAGCACGAAGAGAAGTTGCCTTTATGCCGCGATGTCTGAATTTGGTATCCCCGCGAAACTAATACGGCTGTGTAAAATGACGTTGAGCAATACCACCAGCTCCGTCAGAATAGGGAAGGACCTCTCCGAGCCGTTTGATACCAAACGAGGTTTCAGACAAGGGGACCCCCTTTCGTGTGATTTCTTTAATCTTATGTTGGAGAAGATAATAAGAGCCGCAGAACTGAACCGCTCAGGCACAATACTTTATAAGAGCGTACAATTGCTGGCGTATGCCGACGACATCGATATTATCGGTAAAAACAAGGGCTACGTCTGTTCTGCCTTCTCGGGATTGGATAGAGAAGCAAAGCGAATGGGTCTGGTGGTGAACGAGGACAAAACGAAGTATCTCCTGTCAGCACACAAACAGTCAGAGCATACGCGTCTTGGCACCCACGTCACTGTTGACAGTTACAAGTTTGAAAAAGTAGACGACTTCGTTTATTTGGGAACCAGCATTAACACCAATAATAATGTCAGCCTTGAAATCCAACGGAGAATCACTCTTGCCAACAAGTGCTACTTTGGGCTGAGTAGGCAATTGAGAAGTAAAGTCCTCTCTCGTCGTACAAAGATCACACTCTATAAGTCACTCATCATGCCTGTGCTGGTGTATGGCGCGGAAGCATGGACAATGAAAGCATCTGATGAGGCGGCTCTTGGAGTTTTCGAGAGAAAGATTCTGCGAAAGATTTACGGACCTTTACGCGTTGGTGATGGCGAATATCGCAGACGATTTAACGATGAGCTGTATGAGCTTTACAACGATATAGACATAGTGCAGCGAATTAAAATTCAGCGGCTCCGCTGGCTTGGCCATGTCGTTCGGATGGACAGAAACGCTCCTGCTCTGAAAATATTCAACGCGGGCCGCGATGCTGGTAACAGAGGAAGAGGAAGGCCTCCTCTGCGTTGGAAAGACCAGGTGGAGAAGGACTTGGCTTCACTTGGCATTTTCAATTGGCGTCAGTTAGCACAGAAGAGAAATGACTGGCGTGCTGTTTTGGACTCAGCCAAAATCGCTTAGGCGGTTACAGCGCCAATTAAGAAGAAGAAGAAGAATAGTTTGTAAAGTATTTTTAGTTAATTTTCTAGTTTGTATAAGTATGAGCATATATATATATATATAAGTGTTATAAGAACCATAGCAATGTATGCGAAATATTGCACCTTATTTTGGTTTTAAAAGTTTTTTTCAGCACTTAGATTTATAAAATTCGTTGTTTTTGTAAAAATTGCTCCAAACGAATTTTTTTCTGGCGAATGGCAATGTATGCGAAATATTGCACCTTATTTTGGTTTTAAACGTTTTTTTCAGCACTTAGATTTATAAAATTCGTTGTTTTTGTAAAAATTGCGGAAAACGAAAAAACAATTTTATGTCAATAAATGTTAAAAAAAATTAGCTCTTCTTTTTTGCTACTATTAATATTATTTAGCTCTTTTTTGACAGTTTTAGCTCCAAACGAATTTTTTTCTGGCAACACTGTCTCTGAATTTTATTGATGAATATATAATTTACATTAAGATAGGGCGTTTTTGAATTATTTGTTAAGTTAGGGCGTTTTTCACCCAAATTCTGAAATAGACTCTTCTTGAAAAATTTACTAGGATAAGGCGTTTTCGAACCGACTGCCGAGATAGGTCGACCATCCACTCAGCCGTCGAAATGGTATCATTGAAAAGCGCAACTGTGTATATTTTCTTCGCAGACGTAGAGCCAGTAATTTCGTTAGATTGAGATTGTGAATTTTTATGACAGCTACTGAAATTCATTAACTTTAAAATCCCGCTCAAGTTTCTTATTTCATTGCTTGAATAGTAGCGTCAACGGCAATTTGTGAACAATTTCGTAGCTCACTGTAGGCTCATACATACGCTAGAAGCTTGCATGCTTCACCACCGCCCAATACGGCAGCAAGAAAGCCAAAGTTCGAATGCAACGAAATGGAAATGTGATTCCATTCATATTACCACAGGCATTGAGGTAATTTTGTGACGTTTCCTTGGCACTAGCCTATTAAAAAAGACAGCGGTGGCAGCGAAACCAAGCAACGAGGCAACCAAACAATGAAGCTGCAACCAAATAATCTCTGCAGAAGAAATACAGCGCATACAACTGCACTTGTGTTGTACTTGCATATGTGTGTGTGTGTGTGTGTGAACAAATGTATTTAGTACATACATATGTTTGTGTATAATAAAACCTGCTATTGCTCATGAATTTTACGAGCGGAATAACGAAGTTGTAAACACAGTATATGAGGTAACCGCAATGAGAGCGCGCGCAAACACACACACGCACACACACATAAAGCATAGCAATATACAAAGTGTACTTGCGGGTAGCTTACTCGTGTGTTATGACCGCAAGACACAAATGCAGTGTTTGAGTACCGCTGGCGCAACGCCTGAAAGTAGGCTTTGCGCTGTTACGAATGTTTTTAGTAGATGGTGGTAGTCGCGTTTTATTTATGTTTACGATATTTTTATTTGTCTTACTCTCTTACAATTTTCAAATCAAATTCACACATTATTGAACAAATATGTAGTACATACAATAAAAAATACACCTACATTACTTGTGTTTGCGTGTAAGTGTGTGTGTGCGCGTGTGAGTGAGTGTGTGTGTGTGTGTGTGTTTGGTAGTAGTTACAAATTTATAACTCTTCCAAATAGATAATATTTCATAATTTTAAAATTTTGTTCGATTCTTCGGTGCATTGTACATGCAGTTATGTATGTTTGTATTGTATGTAGTTGTAAATGCTTATAAAAATTATAAAATAAAATAAAAGGTACACACTTAAATTACGGGTACGTACTACACTCAACACTGGCAGCGGGAGTACAAAAAGGGGGGCGGGGGCACTTTACACGTAAATATTTAGTATGAGTATATCAAAAAAAATAAAAATAATAAAAATAAAAAAACAGATCATAATATTACGAGTATATAGTAATATTTCATAAAAATCGACTGTGGCCGAAATCAAGCCAAATAACGAGTATTTTTTTCAAGTCAAACTACAAATAACAAATAGTAAAAGCATTTAGTGATATTTGATTTTTTTGTTTTCATTAAGTTAACCCCAGCTGAGTGTGGGCAGCAAGCAGCAGCTTGATTTCAACCAGCGCGTCCAGTTACACGCACTCTCACACTGCACTGGGGCTCATGTCATCACACAGGCGCTCACAGAATTACAGAATAGTGCCAGGTTTGCGCAGTGGCAGACGCCTTCTTTGCGTTAGTAGCCCCAAACCGCGTGCCTGCTGTTTCGTTGTTGTCTCTGCCTCATCAGCGGACTCGTCCTTGGTAGCGTCGGCATTTTCGGAGGTAGGCGCATCAGCGGAAGCGGCGACTGGTGCGCTCTCTTCTTCCGTTTTCGATTCCTCAGCAGCGGTGGAGTTATCCTCTTCAGCGGGCGTTTCTATATCGAAATGAAATGTTAATAAAAGTACACATTGAAATGTCTTAAATGCGCGCAATGCGATGTGTCAGAGTAGGACTCCACAACGCGCTTTTCAGGCGTTGTTGCGCAAAAAAACTGATAGCTGAGTAAAGCGCCGAAAGTCTAAAAAGCTTGTTTTAGAGTTCTACTCTTCCTGCTCGTGCTGCTACCACTCACCCGTTGTAGAGTGTCCCAGCTGCAAGCGTCGCTTGGCCAATAGTGGATTGACTTTGCGTGGCGCCACTGGCGCTGGTGCCGCCTTCTGCTTGGCATTCTCAGTCTTGTGCAGATGTGGACGCGACTTTAATCGATTCAGTCCATGTGACGCTACGGGCTTGGCTTCCGCCTCGGCCGCTTTATCTGCATTCTCTTCGCCATTTTCCTCACCTTTCACGTCATTATGATGACTGCTATCCGCTGCCGAATCATCAGCTACTGGCGCTTCAGTGGTACGCGCGAGCTTACCACGTGGCAACAGCCGATTGGCACCTGGACGCGCAAAGCGTGATGCTGGTTTAACAGGCGCGGGCTTTTCTTCGGCAGCGCTCGCGGCAGCCTCCTCATCTTTGTGTTCTTCATCGGTGGCGGCGGGTCTTACGGTTGTGGTGCGACTGCGACCGCGCAGCCCCAATGTTGGGCGTCCACCGCGCAGTGTGCGCGCTGTCGTGCTGGATACAGCTTCTTCGTTGCTCTCCTCACCATCGGCGCTGGCGGGTTTTTCGGTAGTTGTTGTGCTGCGTAGGTTGAAGCGATTGCGTGCTGTGCAAAAATGTTGAAATTATTAGTAAAATTCATAGCATTGCCAGGCGTGCTGTACTTACGCCTGCCACGTCCGAAACCTGAGCTCACGGGCTTAACTTCTTTCGGCGCAGATACTTCCCCTTCCTCTTCCGCTGGCGCGGGCGCTGCAGTTGTGGTGCGTGCGCCTGGACGCGCGCGTCCGCCAATCGATGGACGAGAGAAGCGATCTGTGAATGGAATATTTTTAATGTAGGTTCGAAATTTTTTGCCCCCACACTGTGCCCCCACTACTTACTCTTGCCAGTTTTAGGTGGCTCCGATGGCGCTTCTGTAGTTGTCGTCGTTGTTGCTTCGCTTTTGCCACCCTTGTTCAACTTGAAGCGATTACGTCCGGACGAATTCAAGCCGGCACGTTTGCCGCCAAACAGCGTTGGTGCCGGTGTAGTTGTAGTGGTGGTTGTTGTTGTGGTAGTTGCCTCTGTGGTAGTTGTTGTTGTGGTAGTTGTAGTTGAGCTGGGCTCTTCGTCTACCAAAGTGGTTATTGCCGCCTCGTCGGGGTTTGTGGTGTCTGGCAGCACCGTCGTTACCTCCGTATCCGCATCCGTGGTCATGTCCATGTTAAAATTTTCATTCGCCAAAATCGCGTACAAGTCTAATGCGGCCTTCTCCATTGATAAAGTTGTTTGCTCAACATCCTCGTCCGCCACATCCTTGCCAGTCGCACTTTCCTCAGCGCTACCGATAGTCGGCTGACGTCGCTGCTTTTCCTCGGCCTCTTTCTTCTCAGCTGCCTGTGCTGCTGCAGCGGCTGCTTGCTCTTGTTCAATGGCGATCGCCGATTTGGTTTCGGTGTCACTGTTTCGAATGCCCTTCACTTGCTTTTCGTCCGTGTTGAAGGTTGCGCTGTCAACCAGTTCCAAGCTGGGTCGCTTGACGCTGATTTTCTTCCTCTCCGCGGCGTTCTCAAGCGAATCCAAAGCGGGTGTCGGTTGTGCATCAACGTTCTTGCCGCGGCTGGGGAAGCGTGTATTGGCAGGCAGCCGTTCGGCTTCGACGTCGTCGCCGGCGTTGTCGGCTATGCTTGATGAGCGACCCTTAGCCTTGTTGCTCACGAGACTATTGCCAGTTGGCACCGCTGTGGTGCGTTCGATATTGCTGTAACGCGATTTGCCGCGTTCAGTTGATTCAGCCTTAGCCGGCGACTCCGACGGCTTGACGTCCTCCTCGTCTTCGTAATAGTACACATATTCGTATTCATAGTCCTGACCATTTGGTCCCTTCTTAATTTCAATGCGCGATTTTTTGCTATTTTCCGAACCGGCAGCATCCAGGTTAATGGCCTGATCGACAAAACCCACATTTATTTCTTCATCGAGGTCATCGTTTTTAGCGGGCGCAGCTGTGGTCAACATAACATAAGTGGCTTCGACGGCACTCTCGGCTGCTCTGCGTTCCTCCTCCTGCTTGCGAGCGGCATCTATCTCAGCCTTAACTTGCTCGAGCTCCTCCTGCTCAATGGCACGTTTGGCCTCGATGCTCTTCATGACATCCTCATTGATGAGCGCACTCAAAACGGGATTTAATTCTGGGCGTTCTTTTGTCGGCAGCAAATTCATTGCACCCAGATCAGAATCTGGTAAGAAAGAATGTCTGGGAATTTTGTGTGATGTTTGGAATTCTTTTCCATCGGGACGCTTGTGTGAAGTCTCAAAATGCAGTTCACCCGACCGCTCGACCGCCAGTTGTTCGATGGAGTTTTGCGCCTTGGCCAGCAACGCCAGACAGCATATCAATTGGCTGCAAGGACAAAGGAAATGGTTGTAATTAAATATTTCAGTTGGCAGACAGCATAACAAAAAAAAAAATGTTTACGTAAATTTTGCATAATCGTGTAGAAGGACATCTGTATAAATTAGTTGAAGTAATGGTGGCGGCAAAGTAAGCGCAACATGATGAGTTAACCGGTTATGGTCTCATAATATTTATGTATGTACGTACAGTGTAGTCTTGCACATAAAACTGAAATTATTATTGGCAAGTGTTGCAGAGGAATGTTGTTCGCTGTCGCATGACTGGTTATTAGCTCATTATACATACATACATACATACATACGTGCATGTGTATGTATGGGTGTGTACGACAGTATTTAGCATCAGAAAGTGAAGGTGTTCAAGAGATTCCAGGTAGGAAACTGGATACATAAAATGTTTTTTTTAGTTAATTACAATATGCTACATAGTTACTCGTATAACCTTGAAAGTTTGAGACTGGACAAGTTGATTATGTGATAATTGATTTTCTTTGCTAAAGAGCGAGTGGTTAGCCACGACTACCGTTGGGAATAACAAATCATCAGACTCATTATATAATCATTTTATTATGCACAAATACAAATACATACATACACACATATGGTAATACAATTCTAATATGTACTTCTACATACATACATACATATGTAAGCATGTATTTGTTTACTACATATATACTTCACTGAGCTTGCAAATAGGAGGGAAAGAAAGTTTGCGATTTCGTGAAAAGCTTTCTAGTTAATAGAATATACTCAGATAGGATAAACCTTTACAATGGCATAACAGGGTTCCGCTATCTCCGTTGTCTTATTTATAATCGCTTTCAATAAAATTAGTGAAATTTTACAAAAAAAAACGAGCCTCAACATTCCATTTATGCCGACGCCACACAGTGGCATAGCCACATACATTTTTTGAAAAAAATTAGAAGTAATCGGCGTAGAACCGAAATTTTAAATATGTAATATTTATGGAAAAAAATCAAGAAAAAATGAGAAAATGGCGTGATAGTTTTATTTCAAAGCATACCACCCATATAAACCTAACCTCAAAAACTTTTCCAAATGCCATAAAAAGTGCACACGAATGAATGTTGTACTGAAATGTTTGTAATAACGTTATATAAAAATTGGTGTAATCGGTTTATTTCAAAGCATACCACCCATATAAACCTAACCCCAGAAACTTTTCCAAATGCTATAAAAAGTGCACCGATGAATATATGAGTCCGAAATTTCGGATCCATATGTTTTTAATAACGTTTTATATGAACTCCAAAAAAAAATGCACGTAATCGATTTGTTTTAAAGCATAACTCCCATACAAACCTAACCTCAAAAATGCCTTAACATGCCTTTAAAAGCTCACAAATGAATATATGACTCCGATATTTTGTTCATATGTTTGTAATAACGTTATATTTGAACCCTCAAAAATTTGGCGTAATCGGTTTATTTCAAAGCATACTACCCATAATTTTTTTTTTTCAGAAGTCGATAGAAAACATTCCGGTCTTTAATTTTTTTTATCACAAGAAGGCAAAGGAAACGAAAAAAATATAGTTTTCGTCCAACAAAAGTGTCAAAGTTAGCATTTATAAAGTGTCATTTTTTGTCTGCTTATATTTATTAAAATATATGGTTGATTGCCCTAATTTTTTTCCACTTTGTCTAGTGAATGCTATATTTTCATATGAACCCACAAAAGAAAAATAAAATAAATAAAAAACAATAAAAACAAAATTTCCCAGAAAAACACATTACTTGAGTGAAGAAAAATCCCAATCAGTTTTAGTTGAATAAGATTTTTCTTGCTTTTGTTGCTTTCGATTTTGTATAAAACTGCGAATTTCGTACAAAGTTATAATACATTTTTCTTATTAAAATATCACTTTCTTAGGCTGAACCATTCAAATATAAAACTTTTATATTCGAAAAATGTTATATTTTTCGTCGAAATACCACTGTGCGCCGTGCTGATTTTCTAAAAAAAAAAAAAAACAACTGCCTGATGCAATCCCAAAATAAAATTTCCAAAATTCTTGACGATATTGCCATTTGGTCAGCTGGTATGTTTCATATAAAAGATGTCATTTTCTTTACTTTTATTACCAAACTCCTTGACTTACCTAAGCAAAGCACAAATCTATAAGCGTACCAAAAAGCTTTCTTGGACATCAGAAAGATGTTGATAATGGATGGTTGGAAATTCGTATTCGAAGATGATGTGTTAAGAAGTTCAAAATTCACGTCTTTTGCGGAAGTCACACAACACATACATATACTCAAATCCGAAATACTTAAAACGCTTGATTTTATAGGTACCGTAACGGTTAAGATCTTTACAATAAATCATAATTTAACTGTTAAAATTGGACTTACAAATTGCCGATCAAATTTAACCGTTATCTTATTATTTCTCGATCGAAATTAATAGTTAAATTTTAATTTTAATTTTTTCGGTCATAACATAATCGTTATTTCCAGATTTAGTTTTTTCACATCATACAAATTTAAAACGATATATGTATAATAGAAGAGTAATTTTTAAGCAAAGAAAAAAACCGACTTCAATACTCATATAATAAAAAAAAAAACTTTATGCAATTCGCAATTGCAGTCGGAGCTAAATCAAATTAATGTGGAATCATCTCCCTTTCCAATAGCTTCATATAGCCAAGTATCGTTTATATGCTCATTTAGAAATGATCGAAAGTAAACCATATTAGTGTGGGACTCCCCTTTAGATACCACCTTTCCCGTAAGAAAAATTTATAAAAAAAAATATTCTGACGAACTGATAACCTACTCCATTTTTTGGCGACGCAAAATAACGATTAATTTTGATCAAACATTTAAAATCCATAAATAACAGTTAAGTTTGTATGAATATCAGAGGTGAACGTACATATGTACATATTTATATGGTTTTTTAAGTGTACATCTATCCACTTGTCGTTCACTTTCAGTCGCTTTCAAATGTTATTTGCACATCCCAGTACGAATTTTATCATTTTCGATCGCTTGCCGGCAATCAGTGTGAGTTCATCTAAATAGCTCGTCGCTCATTTTATTAACTTCGCCGACTGATATCAGCATATCTTTTCCCTGGCATTGTAGTGAAAATTATAAAATATTACCGGACCCGAAGAATCGATGACTTTTTAAAAACCTTTCACCTGATATTTTAATATTTTTTAAGTTTCTATTAGGTCTTTCTTTCGTTTGTGTGAGTAGCTTTTTTCAATATTTTTCGTTTCGTAAATATTGCAAAATTTTTATTTCAATTCTACTACTCAAACTCTCAGTATAAAAATTAATAACAGTGGCAACCCTTTTTATAAATATTCGTATCTAAGAATGTGTAAATTTTTTTATTTCTACCAAAGGTTTTTCAACTACCTTTCGTTTTGGTCTTAACTTTTTAGATTGGTGATAACGCTAATGAAACATTTTTTTAAAACAAATATTTCTCAAATAACATCGCTTGATTTTAAAACTTTACTATTTCATTTATCTTACCAATTTAATTGAATAAAATTTTTCAATCAGGTGGCAATCCCCTTTAAAAACATTTTCCTAACTAAGCTTTCTGAAACTACCTTACTTTGACACCCTTATCGAACAAAACACTTCATTTGTCAAAGAGATGACAATGCCCTTCAACAATTTTTTGAAAATCGAGCTTTCTTAAGCCTCTCTTGTTTTATAACCGTATTGTAATTATTCTCAACAAAAAAAAACTGTAGCCTAGAATATCGAATGATTTTTTTTATGAAATAAAACAGTCTTTGACCATCTCTGCATGGTTTTAAGCAGGGTTGGGCACGCTGCATCAAATCGAGGTTTTCACTACCATTAGGGCTTCAGTGGTAGTGCATTTCAAATTTCACTACCACTATATGCTTAGTGGTAGTGCATTTCAAATTTCACTACCACTATATGCTTAGTGGTAGTGCATTTCAGTATATGGTTAGTAGTAGTGCATTTCAAATTTCACTACCACTATATGGTTAGTGGGTAGTGCATTTCAAATTTCACTACCACTATATGGTATATGCTTAGTGGTAGTGCATTTCAGTATATGGGTAGTGGTAGTGCATTTCAAATTTCACTACCACTATATGCTAGTTCTACCCGCATTTAGGTAGTAAACCTCAGCCACCACGATGCTCCCCGAAGGGCCGCACCATGAACAGACCGGAGTAGTGCTCGCCAGCCAGACCAGCTTAACCAGCCAGACTCGTCCGACTCGTTGAACATGCACAACCCGCTTAGCTATCAGATTTGCAAAACTTATTTACATACACACGATGTGCCCCACCTGGGGACATACTCTCCGTTTCACCATTTTTCTACTTACATTCATCTTTCTCTCCGTTTTACAAGTTTCTAAAGCCGTAGACATTTCAACCACTTGAGCCTCCACCGACTCAGGACTGGTAGCCTTTGACTGGAGTAGGTCGGGGTCGTCAAGCCCGTACCTCGGCATACGCCAAAGCCCACTAGGCATTAGCTAGGGGGACATTAAAATCGACTTCCTACTTGACTCGCTTCCACTCAATGCAATAGGGAACAGTTGAACTTAAGTAAATATTCATTTTCTTACTCGCCATCTACCAGCACTGCTACAACTAAGGGGAGTACATACTAGTACCTGCCGGTAAGTGCCAGCAACGGTACTGTGCGCATGCGCAAATATGCCGTGATACAGTTACATGATGCTACATACACGCATACACTTATACATGCGAGTGCAAAGTCATGCTTTTCCACATCATGCACTGCATAGTTCAATGAGCGACAGATGCTTTACCAAGCCCCAAAAAAAATCACAACACATACTATATATCATGGACGGACGAAATAATCATGCACATCGAACAATGCGCCAATAGTTAAAGTGATCCGATGCGAATCGCTGAGGTCGAACGCTTGGCTGATGCGATATGCAATCAAGCTATGTATGTAGCCGCGACAATGCAT